CATGACCCCAAATAAATGTAACTGTACTGTATCCCTAAAATGTACCAATAAACTCAATAAAATTAAAAAATAAAAATAAAAAATAAAGAAAAATAAAAATCATCTTTTTTCACCTCTGTCCTATGTTGGAGGTCCATAAAAAAAAAGACACTCGTGTGCACATACATGCACATGCACACATACTACCATTTCTGGGTTGCTTAAATTTTCTATGTCTGAGACTTTTTTCCACTCATGCAATGGCTCACTGTCCACTGGTAATTACAAGACTGTAATTGTTGATTACTCACCATGGCATGATGTTCTGTAAATGCTATTGATATATTTTTGTAGGAACTTCTACCACTTTTGCCTGGCACCATTGCTGGTGAAATAGAATCAACAGCTGCAAACCTCAACAATCTAGTAGTTGAATCCTATAAGGTATGTATAAATTATACTCAAATTTTTCAAAGAAACTTGCCCAGTGCTGCAGTAAGAAACTAATTCTGTATCATGTCAGTACAAGTTAACAGTAGTATCATGAAAGCAGTGATAGAAAGAACACAAAATAAGAAACTATAGCATGGAGTTTAGCTCTGGCTCTGCCATGAAGTTGCTACTACCCTTGTGATAGTCTCTTCAGTTTTCTGTGCCTTCCTTGTTTCATGACAATAAACTTCAGATTGTGCCAGAGGCTATCTAAATTTCCTTCAAATCCAGTGATTTGAGTCACAAATAATAGCTAGAGAATGCAGCTTATTACCAAGAAATTGCACCAATCCCTGTGTCACAAAGTAAGCAATTCACACTGCTATTTAAAGCATCAGTCTTTCATGAATGTACCATCAGGGATGTAAAAATTACTCAGAAGATTCTGCTGGCTTCTCTATGATCATTTGATTGCTCACACAATTATCTAGCAGTCTTACCAAAGGAATTTGACTAAAAGAATCACCCTAACAGATAGAAAATTGTACCGAATCAGTGGTCATATGCTATCATCTCATCAATTTTGCAAAGAGCGATGCCTGAGTGCAAGAAGATAAAAAGAAACATCTGTTTTCTTAACCACATCATGCCAGGATGTAATAATCACTGTCAAGATGTTGTAATAATGCTATTACTTTCATCCTACCTTTAAGAAGCATCACAGGCTGGGGATTTAGTTCAGTGTTTCCACCACCTGCCTCAAAAGCGCGAGGTCCTGAATTCAATCCCTGGTACAAAAAAAAAAAAAAAAGAAGAAGAAGAAGAAGCAGTCACTTTCCATACATGACTTCATTTAATCCTCATGCCTGACCTTTGAGGCAGGTGTCAGCTATTGTATGTGTGGAAAGCAAAGCTCAGAGAGAAGTGAAGCAAATCAGTCACAACTACTAAGCCAAGGCAGGGTCTGAGTCCCCGTGTTCCTCTATCCCGTGCCCCAGTGCTTCCTGCTGTATGACACCGTATGTATGATGTATACCTTGAATTTATGGGGCACTTCTAAAGTCTCACTTCCCCACATTCCCTGACTCTGCTCCCAACACATGCAGAATTCACCAAGTAAAGAGTAGCCAGAGTGTTGCTGACCATCCTCAGGCTTCTCTTCTGATTTTCTTCAGGCAGTATCTGCCATCAACTTCGGTACAAAGGAAATGACAGGCGATAGACACAGAATATAAAATGAATAACCTGTTTAAACTTATTTTTTAAAAGGAAAATAAATCTTACTAGATTTATTTTTGCCTATGATTTTTCTTTCTATATCTGAAAACGATGTTAAATAAGGAAAAACATCATAAGATTGGGATTTAGCTCAGTGGCACTGCACCTGCTTCACAAGTGCAAGGTCTTGAGTTCAAACCTAAATACCAAAAAAAAAAAAAAAAAAAGGAAAAACATCGTAAATTACATCTTTCTCACACTGTTACAAAAAAAAATCATTAATAATGGGGGTGTTTTTTATTAAAGAAAAATCAAATGTGTACACAATTAATTTCTTTTGGGGAGATCCTGTTTTGTTTTGTTTTGCTTTTGATACAGGGTCTCATGTAGTTCGGCCTGGCCTTGAACTCAAGGCAATCCTCCTGCCTCAGCCTCCCGAGAGCTAGGATTACAGGTGTGTGCCACCACACTCAGCTGCAATTCATTTCTGTTCATAGTTTGTTATGCTTAGAATAGTCCAGGTAAGAAAGGGACTTACACTGGTAGGCATTTTTACACCTCAAAGTGTGTACATTTGCCTGTGTTGTCACCCTGTGCCAATAGAAGACAGCAGTTTCGTGTTCATTTCCCAGGAAGTGTGGGATGTGTTAGCCCTCTGTGGTTCTGATTAACTTTACAATGTAAGAATACTAGCAAATTAGAAAAAAACTTGTCCTAATTCGCTTTTATGTGACTGCATTTTTGAATTCGTCCAAAATTTCATTTTGTCCTCATAGTGTTACTCAAACACAATTAATTGAAGAATTATATATCAGAAAAATAAGAGTCTGCCTCATAAAACTGAAGCTTGAAACAGTGTAAGGAGCTTAATTTCTAAATCTCAAAACAAAAAATTCAGAGATTTAGAGATCTGTGTTCACACACAGCTTGAAAAACATTGGTTTAACTGGCTTAAAGTTGGAAAAGAAGAAAAATTTCACAATGGCAAGCTGAGAGCACTTTCTGTATTAAGCGTTTCCTTCTGACCTGTCAAAGCTTTGGCTGTCAACATTATTTGTATACTGCTGGAAATTTCTGTTGGCTTGCTAAAATTATTCAATTAATAATTGCAGTGGTTGAGCTTTTCAGGAGACTAAAACTATACATTATAATATTTAAGAAGTAAAATTACTAAAGTTAAGAATTAAAAGACACTGGAAATTTCTTTTTAACTTCATACATGCCACCCACTCTTCTTAGATATAAATGAAACAGAGACAGATACAGTTATAGATATTGATATTTTATTATTCCCTTCCTTTTTACAAGTATGAGGTATGGATTTTTGCATGTGTTAGGCTCTAGTTTCATGGAATATATTGTACATATATCTTAAGGATATTTTTCAGGTAGCTGAAACCTTTGGAAGTCAGAGATTGTGATGGAAGAAATTAGTAGGTGCCTAGTATATGATAGGCATAAAAAAAGATGTTGACTCAATGACTCTAAATAAGTATGTGAATGAATGCTGGTTTCCTGCTCAGTAAGAGGCCCTATTTTAGAATTAAGTATTGGAACAAATTTAATTGACACAGGCAGGCCTTGGGGACTTAAAAAAAATTGTAGGCCATGCTTGGAGAGAATTAACCACGTCTGTCAGAGAATTCTCGTGCCTATAGTATAAAAGTGTTCTCCCTAAGGGGTACCTCTCAACTCTGTATCAGGAAAACATTCTGGAATTTGTGACACTCAAGTTGCTTGAAATTAAAATGTCTGTTTAGCCATACATGTCAGAAGCAAGTAGTCAAAATTTACCCTTTATAATATTTGTTCCCAGTATGTTATTTATACTTTATCAAAACACAAATAGTGCTGAATTTTAAAAGATTATTTTTGTGTCCCAGGCTGAATGAGAAATAACTTGGAAATGATCGAAATGCAGCCATAGATACGTGTGTACAAATAGAAAATTTAAATGGAGAGAATCTAATCCTTCAGTATTTCTTACATATTTCAAACATAATTAGTTCATTTTGTAAAAACAGATTTTAATTCAACTTTTTATACAGATTCTAATTTAGTTCAAAATTAGATCTAGAATGATTTAATAAGCCTGACTCTGCTTTGTTGCTTACATTTGAAACTACTGTGGTCAGTAATTTCAAAATGATTTCTTTGCAGAAGCTCATTTCCGAAGTGAAAGTTCAAGCAGAAAACCAGGTACCAGGTGTCTATTTTAACATAACTGCCATCTGCCCGGATGGGGCCAGAAAGCCAGGCCTGGATGGGTGTGGAAACGTGACAAGCAAGGATGAAGTACGTACCACGCTTTCCTCACTTAAGATACACTCCATTTCTTGGCGTGCTTTTCTGCAGAACTATCAATCCATTCTGAAAAACCACCGGCTCCTCTGAAGAATCTTATTTACACTTCAGAGTAACTATTATTGTCTCTTCTCACACAGCTCCTTCTTGTTTTCACTCAGACGACTGTTCTCTCCAACTTTCATGCTAAAATAAATAAACAGGCACCATTTTAAACACTCAGTAGTAGTAACTTCACACTTTGGTGTCACAACCAGTATCCATAAGGAAAACTCATCTCTTTAAACAAGTAGTGACTATAATTCTACTGATGCCAATGCCTTTCTAGTTCCTCACTGCTCATCCTCAGAGTAAATGTGAAGCTGTAAGTAATGCACCATAGGAAAGAATGGGGAAGTTTAGAAAGGCTAAGAATTCCAAACTCTTTCACTTTGCAATTGTCTCAATAAGTTCATGCTGAGGTAAGGAACTTTGTTACAAACAATAAAGAGCATCATTTAACCTAAAGGCGATGAAAGTGAAGCCCAGATGATAAAAGCATCAGGAAACAGGACGACAGGAAAGAGGAATTCTCTGAGAATTGGCACAACAGAGAACAGAAAATGCTTTTACAGGAAATCCTTGTAGGGTGAAGTGGTTTTTAGTTAGTCATTTACCTCTCAAGGCATCCATTTTCTCATTGTTATGATTTATTTATTCATTCATTCACTTATTCATTTGGTACCAGGGATCAAACTCAGGACCTTGCACTTGCAAGGCAGGAGGCACAACCACTGAGCTAAATCCCTGGCCCTTGGATTAGATTTTTAATATCTCTTCCTTCTAACTTAAGATTCTACAATATTATTAATTACTTCAGTGTCATGTTATAGGGAAAAAAGTATTAAAAGATGGAATATTCTAAGACTCTAAAATTAATAAAAGAGGACTTTCTCTTTCAAGTGTATTTTTTCCTCTTGAACTTTGCTATTTTTGGGTAATGTAATTGTGCCTACAAAGTACAACTTTTGTACTTTAAATTATCACATGTTTCTAATTCTGCAATTCCCTCTATAATAATCCCTTGGATTTTATTCAAAAGATTTATACCAATTTACAAAATACACACTTGGTTTTCATTAAATTGAGAGAAATTTTTTTCTAGCAAAAGGTAACACATTTATTTTCTGAAAAATTAACTCATAAAATGTCAAATTTAGAATGGTTTTCCTTACTTTTTATCTTTTTTGTATGATTTTCCTTGCCTATGTCCCTTTCCTCCTTTACTTCCAACCAAATATTATAAACAATTTGATTTTCAGAATAGTCACATGACCTCTTAGTTATTTAAGCCCCAATTTTGCTGTATTAGTAATGACATTGACATTATCCTACACATCTGCTAATTTTCAATATTCTTAAAGACAAAAGTATTTTAAGTACATCAATTGTATTAATTTTAATATTATAATAATGATTCCAATTCCTAATGCATAGATAATCCTAAATTTAGATATTTTGTATGATGCTATATAAAATTCCCAATCAAAAATCCTAGCACAAATTATTTTTAAACTGTAAGAAATTTCATTCCAATGTGAAAATACACACAAACACAGTTATTTTTCCACAGTCCCTGAGGACAATAAGGTAAATGAAAATATGAATAGATATATTAAATCAATTCTATTGTGAAAAAAATCGAAATGGAGAAGAAAGGAAAAACCAATGTCTTCCAGCCTAGTTCTATAATTCTGCATTAATTTCTCTCATTGAGATCAAAGTGTGACTCTGTGTTGAAGTCGTAAGATTTGAGAATGAGTCCAAAGTTGGTTTCCTTGGGTAAAATAAGAGAAAGCCTCATATGTTTCCCCTTCTGACAATCTATGTCAACTAGAGTTTAACTCTGAAACTTTACTTGGGAGCAGCAGCCCTTTGTTTCGGTTTTATACATACATCCCCAGTGCTGGATATTCAGCAACCTCGAATTTTCAGAGCTCAATCCAGAAATGGATCCATCCTTTGTCAAGTTCTCTAAAAAATTAAATATTAAAAATGGAGTACACACTTCTATAGGCACACTCAGTTCTTTTTATGAATGTATTTTAAGCAATTAGCAATAATTCTTCCTTTAATTCTATAAATAAATAATTCTCAAAGAAAATAAATGATAAAGGGAATTGTTTTCATCTACATATGAGACTACACAATACTGTTAATTTATAAATATTGTTATAAATACTATTAATATTTTATATTTTGTGTGGTTTTGTGGGGGGGTTGAGACAGGGTCTCACTATGTAATTGAGACTGACCTGGAACTCACTATGTAGCCCAGATGCGGGGGGGGTTGAGACAGGGTCTCACTATGTAATTGAGACTGACCCGGAACTCACTATGTAGCCCAGGCTGGTCTCGAACTCACAGCGATCCTCCTGCCTCAGCCTCCTGAGTGCTGGGATTACAGGCATGTGCCACCATGCCTGGCTAATATTTTATAAATACTGTTAGTTTCTCTAAGATAGTATATCATAAGGATTCAAATATTATTAGCAGAAATAATATTGTCAATGAAAATTAAAAGCTGTACATGTATTTTCTTTTCCTTCTGAAATTTAGGTTCTTTTCAATGTGACAGTTACAATGAAAAGCTGTGATGTCACAGGAGGAAAAAGCTATGCAATTATCAAACCAATTGGTTTCAATGAAACCACTAAAGTTCATATACACAGAAGCTGCAGCTGTCAGTGTGAAGACCACAGAAGACCGAACGGGAAGTGTGTCGATGAAACTGTTCTGGATTCCAAGTGCTTGCAGTGTGATGAGAGTAACTGTCATTTTGATGAAGGCGGATTTCTGTCGGAAGGTTGCAAATCACAGAGGGACCAACCTGTTTGCAGTGGTCGAGGAGTTTGTATCTGTGGGAAGTGCTTATGTCACAAAACTAAGCTTGGCAAAGTTTATGGAAACTATTGTGAAAAGGATGATTTTTCTTGTCCATATCACCATGGAGATCTGTGCGCTGGTAAGTATAAATATATACAGGCAGTTCTGACTAATCACTGTCACAGTAGCATTTATGTCAATGTACATTTAAGTCACATTATAAATTGCCACCACTGAATCTGAATTTAATGTTCAAAGTTTTATAATCTGTAAAATTAGTCTGTGGCAATACATTTATAGCACATATATATCTTACATATACAAGATATACTTCCAAATAAGAACCTAAAATTAATTATTATTTTCATGTATTCCTTGATCTTTGAAAGAATCATACCAGAGAAGGAGATTACCGATAATGGCTGACATGTTTTCTAGAAGAATAAGGGTATTCCTCCACAGCATTTGATTCATTCTGGCAAGCGGTCACTCCCTGCGGCTTACTCAGAGGGTTTCATTTCTATCAGGATAAGCGGAAGTGAACTATAAAAATACACTTCTCATTCACTGGCAAATTCTTAATGCATCATCATAGATGGTATTGTAAGTTTGTGGCAATTTAAACCTCGCCAGTTTATTTTGAAAACATCACCAACAACAGAATTGCCAAAGGACAGCATTCTCCAAGAAAATACTGGATTACTATGTAATCTAGATTAGTCCCTGCAGCCACACACAAACCAAATTTTAAAATGAAATAAGTTCAAATAAAAATTGTATAATGGTTACTTTTTGTATAATTCAGTTTACTGCCACCTACAGGTTAGACTCCACAAAATCTGTACATTGTTTGAAAGTTAAAATAAAGTAGTTTTTTGATAATTTAGACTACCTAGTGTCTGAATTCTGTAACTTTTTTTCATGGTAGTGTAGAAAATTTGCTTATGTTGAAATCATCTTTTTAGTATTTGTCTGTTAGTAGATTAATATTTGTAAAGTTATTGATGCACAGAAATAATTCATTATCCTAAGCATATGAAAATAACAAACATATAAAATAAGTTCTGTTCTGTGTAAGCTAAAAATTTGGCCTAAAAATTTACCTCGGTGTGCAATGGCAAATTGTCTTTTTATTTCCTCTTCCATATACAATGTTTTATATCCCAAACATTTATTCAGTTGTAACTAGCATTGTGGGGTAGGCTGGATTAAAAATGACATTAAAATGAACCAACAGCTGTCTATTATACTTTACAAAGAAAGGAAATACTAATTTATAGGGAAGAAAAAGAATTTTCTGAGATCATTACCTATAGCTGTCAGTCTCCTAAAGAAGTTTCAGAGAGGTTTGAGAGTCCCAGTCTCTGCAGTGAAGTCTCAACAATCAACGTACTGATCCTTCTATATGACTGTGGTATGAAGGACCCCCGAGCAGTTGAGAATCTGCTTTGGATTGTGTGTGGATAAGTGCAAACTGCAGGGCTGACATGCATTTTCTCCACTAGCCTCCTCTGGGAATAAAAACACATGTTCACAGGTCATCTAGCTATGATTTGGCACATGGCCTGTGCAGGGATCGGGGTCTGGCAGACGTGTGTTTGGCCTGGATCTCATTAGTTTTACACTTAGCAAATTGAGCTGATCCAACATTAGACTCTATGGGACACTTAACCTATGATGTGCTCAGCACTAAGAGAAGGGAGAGGGAGCTGAGGAAAAGGAGGGAGAGAAAGGAAAGGAGGGTAAAATGAAGGAAAAGAGAGAGGGAAAAAATGTTGGTTGTTCTGTAGCCAAATAAGCATGAGAAATACTATATAACCCTGTAAATTGTACTCCCTCTTGGAGACTTCTAGTTTACTAGACCATATTAAATCTTGGTCACAGAGTCTAAAATCCACTCAATTATGTATAATTCATGTTCCCTCAATGTATTCATCACCACCAAGCACACCCCCCCAAATACACACACACACACACACACATCTTCCTTTTTCCTACACTTACAAGCTCACAGCCTGGATTAGGCCTGCCTCACTAACCAACTAAATAATGTTCTGTGGATGTGAAAGGGTAGCTTAAACTTCTCAGAAGACCTGATCTTTAAACCCGGCCTGAGCATCACTGGAGCACTGGCAGTGTTTGTCCTGAGGTCTTTCAAAGTTGTCAGTGGCCTTTGACAATAGTGAGACTGCAGTAATTGAAAACATTGTAGAAGCTATTAATTGAGTATTCATATTTTCCCATCATTTCAGCTTTTTTCGCTTCTTTGTATTTATGTGTTTCAATTTAAAACTGAATGTACAATGACATTGAAGGTGGTCTGGCAGCACCAAAGCAAGGGCCCCTTATGCTTGTTAGCACCTGTATCAGTATGGGGAGATGATCTACAACAGAGTAACTTTAAAAAGAGACGCTCCTCAATGCTGGCGCCATGTATGTCAGCCAGATACAAACTGATGCTGCTTCCATTCCCTTGACTGCCCGTGTGTTTCCATGGAGATGGGAAGGGAATGCAGGTTTGGAAACTTCGCAAAGCCAGGGGTCTCCATTGCTTAGATCCTGGTGTGGCTTTGTTTCAGGGCACGGAGAGTGTGAAGCTGGCAAGTGCCGGTGCTTCAGTGGCTGGGATGGGGATCGGTGCCAGTGCCCGTCAGCATCAGCTCAGCGCTGTGTCAATTCGAAGGGCCAGGTGTGCAGCGGAAGAGGCACGTGTGTGTGCGGCACGTGCGAATGCACCGATCCCAGGAGCATCGGCCGCTTCTGTGAACACTGCCCCACCTGCCACACAGCCTGCAGTGAAAACTGGTATGAAGTCTCTGTCTCCCATACACAGAAGACAGTCCTTTAGGACAGCTGGTTTTTTTCTTTATTTTGCCTTCCTTAAACTTCATAGCTGCCAGATAAACTGTAACCATCGTACTCAAAAAGTAATTGAATAGGGAATTTGAGGAATTAGGGTAATGGGATTCCAATATTTGGTCACTAAGTAGCTGTGAGAGCATCACAATAAATCCAGGTGTTCACTACCTTACTTTTTTTTTTTTTTTTGAAGTAAGTTTTGGGAAAGAGGAGCTGCCTGCTACCCAGGTGGCTACTAGTTAATTGTATGATTGGACAAGTCTTAAAAGTGTGTGGGGCAGAAGGGAAAGGGGATTTACATAAAAAGAGAAAAATGGAAAAAAAGAACAGAAACAGAGCTTTTGTAAATGGGAAAGGGAAGAGGGTGAAGGGAGGGGAGGTGAATGGAGGAAAAGAATGAAGATGTCATGTACAGGCACTAATTTCAGGTGGCTACTAGTTAATTGTATGATTGGACAAGTCTTAAAAGTGTGTGGGGCAGAAGGGAAAGGGGATTTACATAAAAAGAGAAAAATGGAAGAAAAGAACAGAAACAGAGCTTTTGTAAATGGGAAAGGGAAGAGGGTGAAGGGAGGGGAGGTGAATGGAGGAAAAGAATGAAGATGTCATGTACAGGCACTAATTTCCCCTGATGAATGTAATCATTATGTAAGGCAAATGTGTACTAATGAAAAATCCTCTGTGCCTGAATTTCCTGATAGAGTGAGGATAATAACAATGCCTTGCTATAGTTCTATAAAAGAATTAAATGATTTGTATAAAAAACATCTTCAGCTCATGGCAAATGTTAGCTGTTATTGTTGTGTTTTATTTTTAATGATTAAAAATGATGGTGGCTATGAAGCAGTCTAGAAATGTGATCCATATATGAAAGGTGACACATTAAATGAAGGTAACATTATTGTTTTGTCTTAGTATTTTTCCAGGAACAATTTTAGACTTTCTCAGAGACCACTAATCTAAACATCACTGTACCTTTTAATTTGTTTTATTCAAATTTTTAAACCATTTACTTCCTCACATTGTAAAATTTCATAATTGTGTGTACTAATTTAAGTAATATTTAAGTAATTTTTAATTTAAGTAATATTTAAGCAATATTTCAAATAATAATGATTTTTTCTAGTACAGCTTATCAAAATTCGCATTATTTTGTTTTTTGTACTTATCCATAGAAAATGTTACAGCCTATACATTTTTAAAGAATAAATGTTTTAAATTGCCCCTCACAGGAATTGTATGCAATGCCTTCACCCTCACAACCTGTCTCAAGCTGTACTTGCTCAGTGTAAAACCTCATGTGCTCTCCTGGATCAGCATTATGTGGAACAAACATCAGGTACGTCACAGATTCATGCTCAAAGAATGCAGGGTATGTATTGAGACCCGGTAACGAACCATGCTAAAGAAAGGGCCAATGGCTTTGATTTTGGTTTCATTATAAAACACTGCTTTATTTTTTAAACAGCTTTATTGAGGTGTCACAGGTAGACAAAACCTGCACATATTCATGTATGCATTTTAGTGAACTTGTATTTCCTTTGTGTAAATCTCTCAGAGATGGTGTTCCTGACTAGTTAGGTTTCCCATCTCGTTTTCCAGCTCTCTTCCCATGCTGAGCACCTCCATGAGGGGCTTCCAAATGAACTGGCTAGAAAGGCCTCAGTTAAGCCCCAAATATGGATTCCCCATGTAGACTCATTTCACTAAGAGTTAAGATTTGTGGAGCCATCATTTCCCTTCATAACTCCAACTTGCTTCCAGTTCAGACCATCCTCATATCTAATCAACATTTGCTCTCATATTTCAGGTGAAGCCATAAAATTCTGGGCAACAGTGATCTGCTTTTACAGCACATGTAACTTCAAAAGAGCATTGCTGAACTTCTCATTCCACAGTTTAGGGTGAATACAACCAACTGTGGCATGACAGAAAGGACACGGAACTCTCAGTCTGAGGACCTTAGCCTAAAGCCCTTTGCATTACTAGTTAGGAAATACCAGCCCTCTTACAAGTTTCCCTAAGCATCAGTTTTCTCATCTGTGAAAGGAAGATACTACCAACCTCAAAGTCTGTAAGACTCTATATGAGACTGCAGAGAAGAACAAACTTTCTCCCGAGCTTTGTTTTCTTTTTCTTTCACAGCTACACTGATCATAGCCCGTAATGAATTTGGCTCTGAAAAGAGCCCCATGTGCTGCCAGCTGGGGCTGTAGCAATCACTCCAGAAAGCCAAGTGCCTTTCTAATAAATAGGGCCCTTACTATTAACATGTCATTTATTATGTTAAGTAAACATTACTCTGACTTAAGTGTTGTTACAAATAGTATTCCCTTAAATCTCCTTAGGAAAAGCCCTGGCCTGACCTAAACTAAGAAAAGCAGAGGTCAGGGATAAATGTTTGAGCATCCATGACAGCATTTAAAAATGTAGGCAGATTTAAGCCCTGGAAATGTCCTCTGTCTTAACCCAGGAGAAATACTTCTGAAATGTGTCAGTAGCTAGAGCACTTCCCTCCCCTTGACAACTATTGTGCAAGAAGAGGGAAAGGGCATTTCTTAGGCACCTCTGTTATCTACCCACTCAGTCACACTTAAAGGGTCTTCGTTCCGTCTCTCTGGCTAAGCTCCCACTGGAAAAGAGCCAGAAAGTAGGACCATGCCACGTGCCCCCGCTGAGGATCCGCCTTAGCAACTGAGTGGCCTGAGTCAGCCAAGGGAAATGACAGTCTGTCCACACAAATGCAGGAGGGCCATTAACCGGAAGGTGACTGTGCTGAACTCAAAGGGCTCCTTTGAACACAGTATTTTGGATTCTGTCTCCCTGAGATTTGTAATGGAAGAGTTGCATTCGAATCCGACATTGAATAGCGCGAGGGTCTGCCTTTGACCTTCTTTTCAGAGTCCCTTATCACTGACCAAAAGAATCTGGGCTCTGTGGGATAGGACCTCTTGCCCTTGTCACTGAGTTCTTGCCTTGCTCAAGAACATACTTGGCCATCACTACAAATTCAGGCCTGTATCACCCACGATTGGATGATGATGCACTGTTCCCAGTCTTGGCAAATCCTCTCCCTAGAGGCCTTCTTGGTTACAAGGGAGACTTCGAGTTTAGACAAAGTTCCCAAAGTCTGCAGATGGGTGGAACAACACGTGTTTCTTTAGGCCAAGAAGTAATTTTATGAATCTGGGGCAGCTGGTGAGCTCTGTGAAATACTTGCTTTTATACAATGCTGTTCTTCTAAGATTAGGGTGATATCTCTGGCAATAGCCGAGCCAGCCACAGATTTTTCCAGTGAGAGTTTGCCAAAGGACTGGTGCTAACACAGAGGACTAGCATGCCTCTCCTCTTACTACAGCATTTCTTTCTCCAACTAGTAATTATTTGTTTTGGAAAAATACGTCATTAATTTTAAAAGCAAATAGAATATGTTTGGTTAAGAGAAGTAAAACATAAATTAATATAAAGAGATTTATATATTGTCCCAAATTGGACACTCCTATTTCCTGAAGAAGCCATGTGTAATAATAATGAAACCTTATGCTGCAACTTCAGAGGACATATTTATTCATCTATTAGAGTGATAACTGATTTTAGCTTCTGCAGATGTTTATTTTCCATTAGTGATGTGCAACAAATGAAGAGAAAGCATAATAACAGATCTGTTATTATGTTACACCCATATCTATCTATCTATCTATCTAGATAGATAGATAGATAGATATACCCAGAGTTATCAGATACATTTTAAAATCTTATTTTACACTTAGTGCTCAGCAGTACACACCATGAAAATTGCCCCTTGTTCTATCATGAATAAAATTATATTTGGGTAAAGGATTTGGACATATCCCAACTGATGCAATTATAGGATCTAGCTGCAAAGAAGTAATGTTACTGAATGCTTTAACTGTGTCTACTTTCTAAAGGAAGGTTATATGTTGAAAATATTTTAATGATAAATGTGCAATAAAGATTAGAGTCCTCTGGTCTGAAAATATGGATTTGTAAATTGAAATGTAAGTATCATTTGATAGAATCCTTTGATTTATTAATCCTGATTTTTATATGTTTATTTTGTTTTATTACAGAATGTTTATCCAGCCCAAGCTACTTAAGAATATTTTTCATCATATTCATAGTTACTTTCTTGATTGGGTTGCTTAAAGTCCTTATCATCAGGCAGGTGATACTGCAGTGGAATAGTAATAAAATTAAGTCCTCATCAGATTACAGAGTATCCACCTCGAAAAAGGTCAGTGAGTCCTAAAAAAGTGATGATTATCAGTACATTAGTACCTGGCAATATTTAGGCCCTAAATTAATAATAATATTTCTTCTCCATCAAGGATACGTTGATTCTACAGAGCGTTTGCACACGAGCAGTCACCTATCGACGTGAGAAGCCCGAAGAAATAAAAATGGATATCAACAAATTAAATGCTCGTGAGACTTTCAGGTGCAACTTCTAAAAAAATATTTTAAAAAAATACTTTGTGGGAAACTGGATTTTTTTAACAATTGCTCCTAAAAATATATATATATTATATATACGTTGATTCTACAGAGCGTTTGCACACGAGCAGTCACCTATCGACGTGAGAAGCCCGAAGAAATAAAAATGGATATCAACAAATTAAATGCTCGTGAGACTTTCAGGTGCAACTTCTAAAAAAATATTTTAAAAAAATACTTTGTGGGAAACTGGATTTTTTTAACAATTGCTCCTAAAAATATATATATATTATATATACACATATAT